CTCGTTAATATACTGACAAACTTTTAAAGGTGGTAGGTTCATCAAAATAAACATTTTTTTGCTAAATGAATACAATAAAATGTCCGAAAAAGCTTCGTTTTTGAAACACATGATTATTAAGCAAAAAAGTTCATTTTGATGTCCGCTCTCTTTATATTTACAGGATCCTTTGTATATTTAAATCTGTACAATGTAGATTCTTGTTTACAACTAAAAATGTAACGAAGTATAGTTCAGAAGTTACAGAGAAACTATTACTGAAAAAATAAAAATAATAGTTATCTATAGATTTATAGTTACTACAAAATACATTATGTACAAAGAATGTTGTAAACTCAGTTTAGCTAACAGGAATTTTATTTTTAACTGGTTATATTCAAAAAACAAATGTCATTTTTAAAACTATGTTTAACAATAACAGATGAGTATACAAGGTTCACAGTTTAAACTAAGTCTACATCATGGAGGAAGGATAATTAAGAGTTGCCGTTTCTTTGTATAAATATGGCAACATGTTTGCTATCAGCGCCATATGGAAGGGACTATTTCTTAGTCGGTAATATAGATACCTGCATATTTTATTTTATTTAAAAATTAGCGGGATTTTGTTTGTAGCTCTACTTTAACTACTATAACTAAAATTTTGCATTTTGATTGGCATTTTTTGCCACACAGACCAGGTGCAAGATGTAACAAAATGCCAATCAAAATGTAAAATTTTATGACCCATAATTTTAGGAAGGGTAAAATAATGTAATATTAAATAATTGTATTATCTATTATTATATCATTAAAACTAGTTTATAATAAATTTTCTAAATAAATAATATTTTAATAAAACAACTAAAACTTTCTGTAAACTTGGGTAGGTAACAAAACACATGAAGGAGAACCATCCATATAATCTGAAACAGAAAAAAATTAAAGCAGTATTTTAACTTCATATCATATTGAATCTCTTTTTTCTTTTAGACATTGTCACAGTTTTATACTATCATTATAATATTTTATAATTATTAATGGTAGTCCCTTCATCTTTTTTAAATAGATGTAATACTTTTAAAAAAACAGATGCCTGGGGGATTAAGGCTTGAGGTCCTTCTTTGATTCACAAATTTTACTTTGCTAATTTCTAATTATCAAATAAAGTTTTTTCTTCCTTGGAATTAACTATTCACTGGTTTGATTTAAAAATCCATTGTTTTTTAGGTAATAATTATATTTCATTGGATGAAATTTTGATCGAATGTAACTTTCTTTTCACTGGTAATTTGTTTGACGGTATGATAACAATATTACTTTAGTATTACTTTGGAAATAAAAAAAAATGTGTTCTTAAAATTTACAGCATTAATTGGTCAGTAAATTGTACTATTTATCTTTATACAAACAACGCTATTACAATTAAATATTATGAATTTATTACGAACAGGACCTGCTAAACACATGTTAAAACACCAAAATATCTTTGCTTAATTTTAAATTTAACATGTTTAACTAAAACTAAAATTGAATAAAAGTAAAAGTACTTACCACGTTTTATTCAGCAACCATAACCATATTGTTTTGTTATTGTTTCGGATCAATCGGGTGACAATCCCAAAGTCAGATTTACATTGTACACATAATTGATCAATTCATGTTTTTCAAATAATTGTAGTATTTATATAAATATATAATTTTAAAACAATACTTTCCGAGTGTTACCTTTGTTACTAAGCGAAATATGTTATTTAATTATTCAGTGTACTTTAAATTTAAATATCATTTTGTTATTGTAAAACGGACTGGTATGCGCGGATGTGTTGCGCATTAACTTGTTGATAAAACGCGCATATGTTATAACATTTTATCTGCCTATTGTGCAACCCGCCATATGTACTATTAAAAATTAATCGTATTTCTTCAAAATGTATTTGATTCTGTTGATTAAAACCATTTGATAAAAAAATAAAAAGCATGGGTATAAAGGTGGTTTTTTATATCTGTGGTATAAAGCAGCGTTACTCAAAGTGTGGTCCGCGGAGCCCTGGGGCTCCGCAAAGCCTTTGTGGGGGCTCCGCGAAGAAAATAATCATAATAAAAAAAAAACGCCACAAAAGGGAGGGACCTGGCTTAAGGACCTTTTTTTTAGAAGTCACTAAGAGGAAGGAGGATATGATTTTGCTTGAGGACATTCTTTTTTTAGAAATGTGTTTAGGGCTCCGTCAAATATTTCGCTTTTCAAAAAGGTTCCGTCGCCAAAAAAGTTTGAGAAACACTGGTATAAAGCATGCATTGGAGTAGTGTATAGATTATCTAAGTAACAGTAACAGGACATCTTTCGGTATGTCTCCTATCGAGACTTTTATCTTTATTCGACAGACAGCGATTTTAATGTAATGTCTCTCTCTATTCTGTATGTAATGTCTCAAGTTCACACATACGAATCGCTGTCCTGATCAGAAGAAATTAACCACATCAAAAGTGTTACACAGGAAGAAAATTAGGTCCCCTGTTATTTTTAATTTATATCAATGACACAGTTGATGTCGCAATGGTCAATATGACATTTACCTGTTTGCTGATGACGCCCTTATCTATGTTTCTTGTAAGTTGTAAGGATTCACATAACTTAGTAAGTTGTTAATGCAACTCTGTAAAATGTTTATAAATGGTGTTGCAAACATTTGTTAAAAAACAACACAAATAAAACAAAATATATGATGGAAAGTAATAACTATATGCAGTTTGTGGATAAACAATATAGGCAATTGGAGGAAATTCTATACAGTTAGTAGAAAAATTCAAATATTTATGAATAATTATTCGGAAACGGATGAAATTTACAGACCATATGCCAATACTGTTATCAAAAGAATTGCAGTTAAATTACATTTCCTATTTAGAATTTGATTATAATAATTATTATATTCCATTATTTTTTATTAAATTTGAATATTGTGATATTAGCAAACTAGACAACCAATATATCTACTTTCTTGTATATAAATAATTTTATTGACAAATAGAACATAATATGAATTATTTATTCTCAACGACTTGTAGTGTGTTTATATGGCTTGTTAGAGTTATTTAGTTTTCAAAAAAGTGGGTTATTTTGTCGAATATTGTGTTTTATTTAATTTTTGCTGATTTAGAATGGAAAATAAGGACCAAAACAACATTATTACTAGCTTATCTATTTAAGCAAATTCTATTTTAAGTCAACCTGCCTTCTTTGATATGAAATTTCAATAAAAAAAGGTTTATTTTCATTTGTTTTCTATTTGCAACTGGCGACATAATCAATTTTTAAACCAGTTTCATAATATTCAACATTACGAATTGGTTGCGTAAATTAGATCATTTTGACGCTTGATGCGATTTTTTTTTTATTACAAACAAGAGAGCAAGTAAAAAATGAAACAAAAAACAAAGAATCGGACATAGAAAGGGTCAGCCAGCTGGGCAACCAACAACTACTATAGAAAGTTTTAAAAGGTTTGAAAAATAAAACAAAAATAGAAATCAAATTAATAACAAAATCCAAACCAAAAATTTTACAACTCAGACTAATGTTATTCATGTTACGCCATATTATATCAATTACATACTTAACATAGTCTAATGGTTAATTGTTAGATATAATTGTTTATTTTATCAAACAAAACAAACATAAAAAATGTAGTCAATTGGAACAAGTACACATTCATTCATTTGTTGCAAAACAGATCTTCATAGGTATATATAAAAAAATATTAAAACGAGTGGATTGTCCGATATGGCCATCATATCCACTCTTGTTGCACAGTATATTTTTTCTACGACCCACTAACGAAAATAAAAAAAATAAAAATTATTTTAGTTCATTAAGATAAAATAACTAATTTAAAAATATTTTATAACTTTTACTAATTTATATAATAAAATGTTCCGTCATATTCTCAATTATGTGAGGTAGTAGGTAAATACCTAATTCCTTGGTAAATGTTAAGTTGGGAAAAACCCCCAGTATCACATTTTCCCCAAAAATATGAAATGGATTCTGAAAGGAGGGGGCACGTTTTAAATGTAAAACACCCTTCGGTCAGAATTTGACGAAATTTTAATATGTTGTAGAACTTGACCTATAGATCACTTATCTCCGTTGAACAAATGCTCTAACTTTAACAATTTTTGATATACAGGATAGGGTGTCCAAAATCCACGCGACAGGTCCAGGTTCAAATCTGGGCTGGGGTGTAATTAAATTAAAACTTTGTTTATGGGCCATTATTTACGGATCACTCGGTGTTTATTTGAATTTGAGATATCACATAAGGCTACTGGCGAATCACTTCAATTGAAAAATTTTAAAATAATTTGTATCAGATTTAAATGATTATTTTTCGTATAACTGTAAAACATTAAAATTGCCCGCACTGGAAACATCTTCTCCTACCTTGTAAGCTCAGAAAATGTTTACAAATTTTGGAACGATGACAGATCTCAGCATTCTACTACATTTTCCTAAAATTTTTCAACTGTCTATTACTTTGAAACCGTAGTATATGCAAGTAGTATAAATTTTATATCCAAGCTTGTTAGTTTTCAAGAAAGTGAGTTTTAGTTTTTCTCCAAAAATAAATCTTGTATTAATTGAAACTGGTTATTTTCTGCAGGTAAATAATGAATGAGGACAGTTTAAAATATCTTTCAAACTAGAATTATATTTTGTATTTTGTAACCTTCTTTCCGCCCTTCGACATACACTTCAAAATATCATAACTATTGATTTGTAAAGCAAAACATTTACAATTTCTAGGTTTTTTGCTACTGGCGACATAATAAACTGTTCAAAACCAGTTTTTTTACCAGTTTTTTTACTCGATAGAAAATTATTCGTAAATATTTACTGAATGATTGTTTGCTAACACTGATAAATATAAAAATAAAAGTATTTTAAATTACTCAATTATAAAGTACATTATTCGTTAGATAACAATAAACAATCAAATACCTATAACTTTTTGGTAAATTATGAAGTGAGACAGATAAAAAGCGATTCTAACAATTTTTTTTGTGCCGTCAATCCTTATAAATATAGCATCACAGATAATGCGAAACACAACACGCAACATATCCGATACATAATGTTTAGTAAGTGCTTAATAGTACTGCTAGTTGCAGTTTATTCCTGTCATTGTGATTCGGTATCACTTGGCGTTGTACACGATGTAAGGACGACCGAGACTCTGGATTGGTGGCAAAATGCTGTTTTTTATCAGATTTATCCAAGATCATTTAAGGATAGCAATGGGGATGGCGTCGGTGATCTCCAAGGTAGGAATTTTTTAATATGTTCAAAGGATTGCTTGTACCTACATGAATATAATTTCTATTTAAGAGATAATAATAATAGTATACAGGGTGTTTAATTAATAATGGGTCATCGAGTAATTGAAGAACCTTTGGTATAAAATATGAAGTTTAACCGAAAACACTAACACAAATCAATTTTACTCATTTTGAGCTTTCATTAGGGATTGGAAGTAAGAATGTATATTTCTTACTTCCTAATAAGAAAGAAACCAGTCCAAAAATAACTTTTTCCATAGTAAGCAAAGTCAAAGTTAGAGTGTTAAAAATAATTATTCATCTCTGGTGTCTTTTATTTTATATAATTCAATGCCTCTTGTGATATTAGCCAATGGAGTAGTTGTTTTTCGCTAGAAACGTTCGCTCGTATTATTTTTTGACACAATAATTTTATATTTTCTCGATTTTCTTTATTTTACGTCTTTACATTTGGTTGTGTGGATATAGGTGGGAATTATTCGCGTTTGGATGAAGGTAACAATAAAATTATAATACAGGGTTGACCAATGTTGGATTGAGTATCCAGCGTTTATAGTATTTAGAAAATGAAATGAATTTTGAAAGTGATTGGAAAAAAAAAAATAGGTCCACTACATTCTAAAGACAAATCTTTAAAAATCGTTCAGAAACAGTTTTTTCTTAGAAAGTATTTACAACTTATTATTCACTAACATGAGAAGAATTACAAAAGACTGGATAATATATTTAACAGTGACAATATCCAAAATAATTATACATTTTTGATTGGTCAAAGAATTAACAATAATTGAAAAACAATTGAAAACCCATACCTAAGTGTTACCAAATATACTGATAATTATTAAAAAAAAATTCTTAAATCATATAAAGGATTTGTGAAAACAAGAAGACTAAAGCAGAATAAGAATAAGTTTAAATATTTTTTTTAAATCTAAAGCAATTTTTAGCACTTTTTACTTTTAACAGAAAGTTTTTTCGCTCACTGTTGAAAAATATCGAAATCAGCTTGTACAGAGAGATATTAAAAAATTCAATTGATTTTTATATAAAGTGAAAGTAAAATTTTAATTAATACAATATGGTTAATAGTTGCGATTGTAGAAAAATGTACAGGGTGTCTCATTAGTACGTAATTATTTAATATTTCAATTTGTTATATGTTATAGACACGCAAACAAGTTTAAAAAATACATATTTAAAAAATATTTCTAAATATATATTTTATACAGAGTGTTTTGAAACATGTCTTAAATAGGCCAATTTTAAATTCAATTTACTTAATTTTTTCAAATGCAACACCCTGTATATTATTTTAGAATAAAATTCCTAATATAGTTACCTATCCAACGATACCAACAAGTTAACCACTTAGACATATACAGGGTGTCCCATCAGTGCTTATTTCATCGATAGCAGTTTTATTATTGGAAATACGAAAAAAATTAATATAAAAATACTATGACCAAATTTAACAATTATTCTTAAATATACAGGGTGGTCCATAAACAAGGGACTAACCAAACCCATACATTTTTAAAACAAGACACCCTGCAAGAGTTATACGTACTTGATTGTTTTTACATCGTGAAACAATTTTAATATACTTCAGTCATTTGATAGGGTGTGCCAAAATGCGAGTTTGTGATTTTCTCAATTTACTAAATGGAACATTCTGTATGTTATACTACTAATTAATACCCAGAGAGCACAAGTCAATCCATTGGATGTCCATCGGAAGTCCATTGACGGACATATCGGCTATCCAAAGGACGTCCAGCATTTTACCGAAGGACATCCATTGGATTATACAAATGTCCCACTCCCGGATGTCCATTTGGACTCCATGAAAGATCCATATATAGACCATTTTTGTATTGCTTTGGGACAATTTATAAACATCACCACCTATGTTAATAAGAAATAACATAATTGCAACTATGGACACATTTTTATTGTCATAAATAATATCAAGCATGTATTTGTTTTTACGCAGTCCTTTCTGTTGACCATTTCAGCCATTTTCTTAAGGCTATTTCGCTTACTTTTTAAGCAGTCTTAAATCAATCTTTTAATAAACGCCTGATCAGGCAAAACTAATAGTTATAATGTAAAACTTTTAGATAAAATTTTATTAACTAATATAAAATATTGCAATAAAACTATATATTTTCGAACATTACAAGAGAAATACATTATGAAATCACTTTTCTTCTGCTTTGGAAGATTTCTCACCTCTTAGTTACAATAATAATTGTATTGACATCATCTCGAATTTGCAGCTTATTAGTTAGCTTTTAGTAGAGCCATTTTCTTAAATAGGTACATCATTTGACAACAGGTCTAAAAGAAAGGGATTCTTTGAATGTAAATCGAAAATATAAAGTTTAAAACATAATTGATAGGTTATATTAGGTTAAAACAAACGATTTGATTCTTAATTTTTGGATTTTTAAATAATTTAATGTTAATTATACTTATTTTCTTACCAGATAAACTCTATATCTGTGGGCTGCATGCGGGCTCTGAACCATAGATAAATTAATATTATTTTATCTATGCTGTGAGCCGTTCTTGTGGTTTTTAATTTTTTTTCTTAACCGCTTTCTTCTTTTCTTCTTTTCTTCTTTTCTTCTTTTCTTCTTTTCTTCTTTTCTTCTTTTCTTCTTTTCTTCTTTTCTTCTTTTCTTCTTTTCTTCTTTTCTTCTTTTCTTCTTTTCTTCTTTTCTTCTTTTCTTCTTTTCTTCTTTTCTTCTTTTCTTCTTTTCTTCTTTTCTTCTTTTCTTCTTTTCTTCTTTTCTTCTTTTCTTCTTTTCTTCTTTTCTTCTTTTCTTCTTTTCTTCTTTTCTTCTTTTCTTCTTTTCTTCTTTTCTTCTTTTCTTCTTTTCTTCTTTTCTTCTTTTCTTCTTTTCTTCTTTTCTTCTTTTCTTCTTTTCTTCGAGTTTGGCCTGAATGGCATTTTACTTTTGTATCTTGTTAACAGTAGCGAAGAGGACGGGAAAATTAATTGACTTATTTTAAATAAAACCTAGTTGTAAATAATTAAATTATACTAAAAGAATTATAATAATTTATTATAAGTTTATCATTTTTATGGGTATATCTATTGGACAACGAAAAATTGTTTGGACAAAATATTAACGTCCAACGGACGTCGTGTGCTGTCTGGGTACAGGCTATTCCATTTAAAAAATTTAAAAAATCACACCTTTGCGTTCTGACACACACTATATACAACATAGCAAATGAAAAAGTCAAATAAAATTGTTTGACGATGTGAGGGTAATCAAATATGTATAACTACTTGCAGGGTGTTTTGCATTAAAAACGTATAGGTTTGGTCAGTACCTCGTTTATGGAACACCCTGTATATTTAAGAATAATTGTTAAATATGGTCATATAACTTTTATATTAAAAATGTTTTCGTATTTCCAATAAAAAAACTACTATCGATCAATTACAATCAAGGGATAGGCAAATTTATAAGGAATTATACGATAAAATTATAAACAGGGTGTTGCATTTGAAAAAAGTAAGCAAATTGAATTTAAAATAAGCCATATTAAAAACATATTTCAAAACACTCTGTATAAAATAAATCACTTATCTTATCACTACTATTCGTTTGCTTAGTATCTTATGAGTCTGTATAACAAGCAACCTAAACAACCTAAGTTATGATAATTTCATTTTGGGTCTGCATTGTTCTCTAATTTCATAAAAAGATTAATTGCCTGGCAACTCTGCAAGATTTAAAAAAAATCTAGGGTTGAATACAGTGTTACCAAACCATTTTAAAACTCAAATAAAATAAATGGTGTTTAAAGCCCTGTATATCCAAAAATATTTTAAATTATTTACGTATTTTTTAAACCCATGGCAACTTTTATTTGAAACATGTTTGCGTCTGTATAACACAAATTGAAATAATAAATAATTACGCATTAATGGAACACCCTGTATATTAATTAAAAATACAGTTAATTAAAAATATACGTCTTTTATGCATTAAACAAAAAAAGAAATGTGCAACTTATATCCAATAAAATTATAAAAATAGAATACAAATCCGATTAAATATAGCAACTTTTAACTTCTGGTAATTGCTATTTTAATTTTTTTTTATTCTTCTTTCCATCACTTTATAAACCATATACAAAGCATGAAAATCAGATGAAGAATTGAAGGCATTTCTTAGAAATATTAGTAAGAATCCTGCTAAAAGATTTTTCTAAAAAGATATAGTATGGTAAAATATTATGAAATAAATATAGTGTGATAAAATGTGGAATAAATATAATATGGTATGGTAAAATATGAATGAAGAATGCTGTAGATCAAACATTAAATTATAAAAAGAGTAAGTTTATAAATAACAAATTTTTTAATCTAACTGAAGGAATAAAAGTTGTAAGTACTCGTAAATTAAAATAATCTATTACCAATGTTAATAGAAAATTAATAGTATTAATAAATTAGTTTATTTGTTATTTTTTTAGCATATTAACTAATTTAAATCACATTATTTTTAACTTTACCTCAACGTATTTTGTATATTTTGAAAACATCTTCGCCAACCATCCCTTTTCTTAAAGACCTAATGATGTTTAGACCGAAACGTCGCTTCACCCGTTTATTAAAAAAAGTGTGATAGGACTTGGTGTTTTTCTCACCGTTTCCTTTATAAAAAAATATGTATATAGAAATAATATTTTTTTAAATTTATTCAGAATATATTACAGATCAGGTACAAACAGGTACAACCTCTAAACATTTGACAAAGGGCAAGTCATACTCGCGCAATATTGTTTCCTATCAAATGTGTTTTAAAGTAAGTAAAAGTTATACTTTGTACTATGATGAAGTTGGACAAATCTTGAAAGTCGTATAGCTTCGCTACTGTTTGTATAAAAATAAAAAATCTGATGTGTCCAACACATGACTTTTCTATCTAGTTATTACAGGCTTTTTTCGGTTATTTTGTATA